TTTTTTAGCAAGACTGGTGCTAACCCCCAAGAAAATAACTCATTGAGATTTCGTAGCTCAAATTCTCTTAGGAATGCTGATATCAATCTCCAAGCGATTACCTCAGTGAAATTTCTTAGTCCAACATTTCTTAGCAGAGATGATGCTAACCTTCAAGTGAATAACTCACTGATATTTCTTAGTCCAAAGCCTTTTAGGAGGACTGATGATAACCTCCAACAGAATACCCCTCTGAGATTTGCTTAGTCCCAAATTTCTTAGCAGGGCTGATACTAACCTCCAAGGAAATACCTCACTGAGATTTCTTAGTCCAAAGGATTTTCGCAGGGCTGATGCTAACCTCCAAGGAAATACCTCACTGAGATTTCTTAGTCCAATGTTTCTTAGCAAATCTGATGCTAACCTCCAAGGAAATACCTCAGTGAGATTTCTTAGTTCAATGTTTCTTAGCAAATCTGATGCTAACCGCCAAGAGAATACCTCACTGAGAATTCTTAGTTCAAAATTTCTTAGCGAGGCTGATGCTAACCTCCAAGAGAATACCACACTGAGATTTCTTATTCCAAAGGATTTTCGCAGGGCTGATGCTAACCTCCAAGTTAATAACTCACTGAGATTTCTTAGTCCAAATTTTCTTAGCAAGGCTGAATTTAACCCTCAAGACAATGAGATTTCAAAATCCAAATTTTCTTACTGATAATTATTGGATCCATTATATCGCGTATATTCTAAAGACTGCTGCTATGCTATGTCCGAAAATCTTTCACGACAAAGTCCATCTTTCAAATGTATGTGTAAGCCATTCGCCCATGTATTGTTTATTGTTGCCATAACTCCTCTGGTGCTTCTCCGACGTTTTCTAGACATTCTTGAAAAAATCTAATGACTTTTATCAGTTTGGTCCTGTCACCTCGGCATCAAATTCTTTGCCCACCAACGTAAAATAGCTTCGTTATGATCTTTTTATAAGTATTTCCATGACAACTGTAATGATTAACTTTCTTCTTTTGGAAACAACGAATTTTCGAATTTGAACGTTTTGTTTAATTGGCAGTTTGGTCCGATCGTAACTATAAAATTTAACGAAAGTTATATTATAATAATTTTCACTCTTGTACATCTCGGATGTGGAACTCTCTTTCGGCTTCTTGCTTACCTCTGTACTACGTGCTGAAGAATGTAGTACAGAGGTAAGCAAGAACATTTATGAGCCATACCCATCGTCATATTCTGTATTTTCGATTTCTATACTTTTAATGCTATCTGTTCTTAATAAAGTTTTTTTTTAGTTCCCTTCGCTCTCAGTAACTCCTTAATTCTTAGTGGCTTTATTGCCTTGCACTTGGTGAGAATTATTCAAAGAAAAGCATATAATAATTAAAAAGATGAAAGAGGATATATGTATATATATATATATATATTGTTCGATTATTGCCAGTTTCGTAGCTTCTGCTAACATTTGTAAAACTTAGAAATATCAACCAATTCAAATTACGTTTCTTCTAATGGGAATGTCAATAACTGTGAGGCCAGGCATATTTCACTGAGAACAGACAGGATACAAAGAGCATTTCATCAATAATGAAAAGTATTTGAATTCTGATGAATTTCTTGTACTTTAATGCAGGCGAAGTGTTTCAAAGGCTCACTCAAATTAGGTAATTACAGTTTAAATAAATAAGGGAGAGTTTTCGTCCGTTGACAACAGAATGACGCTAGCTAGTTTGTCGATAGAATTACACGATGCGTCTAACGTAGTTGCAAGTAAAATTGATGATAATAAGTCAGGGATCAAGTTTTCACAAATAAATAAAATAAAAATTGTTTTGTGTTATCGCCCGTTCTTATTCGATCCTCCATGTTCGCCATTACAGCGGCATTTGTTTTTAAATTTGTTTAATTGTTTAATTTTGAATGTTTAACTTATTAATATAACGCTCTCATTTTACTTGCAAAAAGGAAGAGCGGTTTGAGAAGAAAGAGTAGAAGAAGAATTAAGGTGAGGAGGAGGAGAAGAAGAAAGAGGAAGAAAAAAGAGGAGAAGTGGGAGGGGCAGAAGATGGATGAAATGAAGACGAATAAAGAGGAGGAGTAGAACAATATGCAGAAGGATTAGGGAAGAAGAAGAAGAAGAAGAAGACTATAAGGGGAGGAAATTGGAAGAAATCGATATAAATATAAAGTATTATACAAGGTATTAAGATAAGGTAAAAAATAAGTTTAATAAAACAAGTGATCCCGTAATAAAGGGAAGTTAGTAGATATAAATAAGGAAGAAAGAAAGAAAAAAAAGAAAGAAAGAAACAGAAAAAATTCTCTAAAAAGGAATTAGATCGAAAGACAGCAAAGACTAAGGAAGGAAGGAAAAAGGAAGATGAATAGAGATCGAACGAATGAAAGCAAGAACTTTAAAATGTTTTAAGAAATAAAGAAGGAAAAAAATATGGATGGACAGAATTTATATAAAACAAATGCAGACCATGTATTCAAAGACGAATGTTACTTCTAAAACAATAGGAAGATGAAAGAAATATAAAAGAAAAGAAAATGAATGAAGATAATGAATGAAATAACAAAAAAGAGGAACAAAGAAAGAAGGAACAAGAAAGAATAAAATAAACAAATAAAGACAGAAAAGAAAGAAGAAGAAGAAGAAGAAGAAGAAGAAATTCTACTGTTTCATTTTTGTATTATACCCATTTTTTAGTAGTAATTATATAAATGTTATATAGATTTTAGATAAATTATTTTCACTTATTTTAAGTTTTTTATTGAGATCTTAGGAAATATCTAGTTGGAGATTGTAATATTTGTGTTTCTATTTATATAAATTTGATGTGGTTTCCTTTTAGCAATATATACTACTTTCATAATGTTGGACATTTAAAAACAGCAGAAATAAACAACAAATCGCATAAAAAACAAAAGAGAAAATCTAAAAGGATTGGCGTTTGCTATGCATCTAGGCACATGCTATTTCAAAATTTACTATTTAATGTTTAACGTCTGAGCATCTCGATTGTCTTACATGCAATTTAATAACAACCAACGTGATTTTATATTTTTGATCCATTCTAATATAGATATAGGCTTCCATTTAAAAAAAAGCATTTAATTTGAAGAATACATTTGGAAGAACCTACACTAAGTTTTCTTTTTTCATTTTGTTTTTTGCTAAAAGTTTCATCTTCTTCTTCTTGTTCTTCTTCTTCTTGTTCTTCTTCTTCTTCTTCTTCTTCTTCTTCTTCTTCTTCTCACCTTAATTCTACTTCTTCTCTTTCTTCTCAACTTAACTCTTCTTCTTCTTCTTCTAACCTTAATTCTTCTTCTTCTCCTACTTCTTGTTCTTCTTCTTCTAATTCTTCTTCTCACCTTAATTCTTCTTCTCCTTCTCACCTTAATTCTTCTTCTTCTTCTTCTTCTTCTTCTTCTTCCTTCTTCTTCTTCTTCTTCTTCTTCTTCTCACCTTAATTCTTCTTCTTCTTCTCACCTTAATTCTTCTTCTTCTTCTTCTTCTCACCTTAATTCTTCTTCTTCTTCTTCTTCTTCTCACCTTAATTCTTCTTCTTCTTCTTCTTCTTCTTCTTCTTCTCCTCCTCCTCACCTTAATTCTTCTTCTTCTTCTTCTTCTTTTTCTCACCTTAATTCTTCTTCTTCTCACCTTGATTCTTCTTCTTTATCTTCTTCTTCTTCTTCTTCTCACCTTATTTCTTCTTCTTCTTCTTCTTCTTCTTCTTCTACTTCTTCTTCTTCTCACCCTAATTCTGCTCCTTCTTATTCTTCTTCTTCTTCTTCTTTCATCTTAATTCTTCTTCTTCTTCTTCTTCTTCTTCTTCTTCTTCTTCTTCTTCTTCTTCTTCTTCTTCTTCTTCTTCCCTCACCTTAATTCTTCTTCTTCTTCTTCTCTCCTTAATTCTTCTTCTTTCTTCTCCTTCTTCTTCTTCTTCTTATTCTTCTTCTTCTTTTCACCTTAATTCGTCTTCTTCTTCCCCTTTCTTATTCAATGTCTTCTTCTTTTCTTCTTCTTCTTCTTCTTCTCACCCTTTCTTCTTCTTCTTCTTCTCCTCCTTATTCAATTCTTCTTCTTCTTTTTCTTATTCAATGTCTTCTTCTTCTCCTTCTTCTTTTCTTCTTCTTCTTCTTCCTCTTCAATGTCTTCTTCTTCTCCCCTTCTTCTTCTTCTTCTTCTCCTTATTCAATTCTTCTTCTTCTTCTTCTTCTTCTTCTTCTCCTCCTTAATTCTTCTTCTTCTTCTTCCTCCTTATTCTTCTTCTTCTTCTTCCTCCTTATTCAATTCTTCTTCTTCTTCCCCTCCTTATTCAATTCTTCTTCTTCCTTCTTCTTCCCTTCTTCTTCTTCTTCTTCTTCTTCTTCTTCTTCTTCTTCTCTTCTTCTTCTTCTTCTCCTTTTTCTTAATCTTCTTCTTCTTCCCCCTCCTTATTCAATTCTTTTCTTCTTCTCCCCCTTTCTTCTTCTTCTTCTCCCCTCTTAATTCTTCTTTTCTCCTCAATTCTTCTTCTTCTTCTTCTTCTTATTCAATGTCTTCTTCTTCTTCTCCTCCTTAATTCTTCTTCTTCTTCTTCTTCTCCTTATTCTTCTTCTTCTTCTTCCTTCTTCTTCTTTCTTCTTCTTCTTCTTCTTCTTCTTCTTCCTTCTTCTCACTTTAATTCTTCTTCTTCTTCTTCTTCTTCTTATTCTTCTTCTTCTTCTTCTTCTTCTTAAATGTTTCTTTCTCCTCCTTAATTCTTCTTCTTCTTCTTCTTCTTCTCACTTATTCAATTCTTCTTCTTCTTCTTCTCCTCTTCAATGTCTTCTTCTTCTCCTTAATTCAATGTCTTCTTCTTCTTCTTCTCCTTCTTCAATTCTTCTTCTTCTTCTTCTTCTTCTTCTTCTCCTCCTCCTTATTCAATGTCTTCTTCTTCTCCTCCTCCTTATTCAATGTCTTCTTCTTCTCCCCCTCCTTATTCAATGTCTTCTTCTTCTTCTCCCCTCCTTATTCAATGTCTTCTTCTTCTTTCTTCTTCTTCTCACCTTCTTCTTTCTTCTTCTCCTCACCTTATTCTTCTTCTTCTTCTTCTTCTCCTTATTCTGTCTTCTTCTTCTCCTTAATTCTTATTCAATTCTTCTTCTTCTTCTTCTCTTATTCAATTCTTCTTCTTCTTCTTCCTTATTCAATGTCTTCTTCTTCTTCTTCTTCTTTCTTCTCCTCTTCTTCTTCTTCTTCTCCCCCTCCTTATTCAATGTCTTCTTCTTCTTCTCCTCCTTATTCTGTTCTTCTCTTCTTCTCCCCTCTTCTCTTCTTCTTCTCCCCTTCCTTATTCAATGTCTTCTTCTTCTCCTCCTCCTTATTCAATGTCTTCTTCTTCTTCTCCTCCTCCTTATTCAATGTCTTCTTCTTCTTCTTCTTCTTCAATTCTTCTTCTTCTCCTTCTTCTTCTTCTTCTTCTTCTTCTTCTCCCCTTATTCTTAATTCTTCTTCTTCTTCTCCTCCTCCTTCAATTCTTCTTCTTCTTCTTCTTCCTTTCTTCAATGTCTTCTTCTTCTTCCCTCTCCTTATTCTTCTTCTTCTTCTTCTCCCCCTCCTTTTCAATTCTCTTTCTTCTCCTCCTTCTTATTCTTCTTCTTCTTCTTCTCACCTTTATTCAATTCTTCTTCTTCTTCTTCTTCTCCTTTAATTCTTCTTCTTCTTCTTCTCCTCCTCCTTATTCAATGTCTTCTTCTTCTTCTCCCCTCCTTATTCAATGTCTTCTTCTTCTTCTCCTCCTCCTTATTCAATGTCTTCTTCTTCTCCCCCTCCTTATTCAATGTCTTCTTCTTCTTCTCCTCCTTATTCAATGTTCTTCTTCTCCTTTTCTTCTTCTTCTTCTCCCCTCCTCCTTCAATGTCTTCTTCTTCTTCTCCTCTTCAATTCTTCTTCTTCTTCTTCTTCTCCTTATTCTTCTTCTTCTTCTTCTTCTCCTCCTCCTTATTCAATGTCTTCTTCTTCTTCTTCTCCTTCTTCAATTCTTCTTCTTCTTCTTCTTCTTCCTTATTCTTCTTCTTCTTCTTCCCCTCCTTCTTCTTCTTCTTCTTCTTCTTCCCCTTATTCAATGTCTTCTTCTTCTTCTCCCCTTCTTCAATTCTTCTTCTTCTCCCCTTCTTCTTCAATGTCTTCTTCTTCTTCTTCCTTCTTCTTGTCTTCTTCTTCTTCCTTCCTTCTTCTTCTTCTGTCTTCTTCTTCTTCTCCTCCTCCTTATTCAATTCTTCTTCTTCTTCTCTTCTTAATTTTCAATTCTTCTTCTTCTTCTTCTTCTTCTTATTCTCCTCCTATTCTTCTTCTTCTTCTTCTTCTTCTTCTTCTTCTTCTTTCTTCTTCTTCTTCTTCTTCTCCTTATTCAATGTCTTCTTCTTCTTCTCTTCCTTCTTTTCTTCTTTCTTCTTCTTCTTCCCCTCTTTTCTTCAATGTCTTCTTCTTCTTCTTCTTTCTTATTCAATGTCTTCTTCTTCTTCTTCTTATTCAATGTCTTCTTCTTCTTCTCTCCTTATTCAATGTCTTCTTCTTCTTCCCCCTCCTTATTCTTCTTCTTCTTCTTCTCACCTTATTCTTCTTCTTCTTCTTCTCCTCCTTTATTCAATTTTCTTCTTCTTCTTCCCTTCTTCTTTCAATGTCTTCTTCTTCTTCTTCTTATTCTTCTTCTCTTCTTCTTCTTCTTCTCACTTAATTCTTTCTTCTTCTTCTCCCCTCCTTATTCAATGTCTTCTTCTTCTTCCCCCTTAATTCTTCTTCTTCTTCTTATTCTTCTTCTTCCTCCTCCTTATTCAATTCTTCTTCTTCTTCTCCTTTTATTCTTCTTCTTCTTCTCACCTTTATTCTTCTTCTTCTTCTCCCCTCCTTCTTCTTCTTCTTCTTCTTCTCACCTTTATTCTTCTTCTTCTTCTTCTCCTCCTTCTTCAATGTTCTTCTTCTTCTTCTTCTTCTTCTTCTTCTTCTTCTTCCTCCTCCTTATTCAATGTCTTCTTCTTCTCCTTTTTCCTTCTTCTTCTTCTTCTTCTTCTTTTTTTCAATGTTCTTCTTCTTTCTTCTTCTTCTTCTTCTCCTCCTCCTTATTCAATGTCTTCTTCTTCTTCTCCTCCTCCTTATTCAATGTCTTCTTCTTCTTAATTCTCCTTCTTCAATTCTTCTTCTTCTCCTCCTTCTTCTTCTTCTTCTTCTTCTTCTTCTTCTTTCAATTCTTCTTCTTCTTCTTCTTCTTCCTTATTCAATGTCTTCTTCTTCTTTCTCCTTCTTCTTCATTCTTCTTCTTCTTCTTCTCCTTATTCAATTCTTCTTCTCCTCTTCTTCTTCTTCTTCTTCTTCCTCCTTCTTCTTTTTTCTTCTTCTTCTCACCTTATTCTTCTTCTTCTTCTTCTTCAATATTCAATTCTTCTTCTTCTTCTTCCTCCTTATTCAATGTCTTCTTCTTCTTCTTCTTCTTATTCAATTCTTCTTCTTCTTCTTCTCTTCTTCTTCAATTCTTCTTCTTCTTCTCTCCTTATTCAATTCTTCTTCTTCTTCTCCCCTCCTTATTCAATTTTCTTCTCCTTCTTCTTCTTCTTCTTATTCAATTCTTCTTCTTCTTCTTCTTCCTTTTCAATTCTTCTTCTTCTTCTCCCCTCCTTATTCAATTCTTTTTCTTCCCTTTTCTTTTCTTCTTCTTCTTCTTCTCCCCCTCCTTATTCAATGTCTTCTTCTTCTTCTCCTCCTTATTCAATGTCTTCTTCTTCTTCTTTCTTCTTCTTCTTCTTCTTCTTCTTTCTCTTCCCTTCTTATTCCCTTCTTCTTCTTTTTCTTCTTCTTCTCCTCCTTAATGTTCTTCTTCTTCTTCTTCTCTCCTTCCTTCTTCTTCTTCTTCTTATTATCCCTCTTCTTTATTCAATGTTCTTCTTCTTCTCCCCTCCTTATTCAATTCTTCTTCTTCTTCTTCTTTTCTTCTTCAATTCTTCTTCTTCTTCTTCTTCTCCTTCTTCTTCTTCTTCTTCTTCCTTTCCTTATTCAATCTCTTCTTCTTCTCCTTTAATTCTTCTTCTTCTTCTTCTTTTCTTCTTCTTCTTCTTCTTCTTCTTCTTCTTCAATGTCTTCTTCTTCTTCCCCCTCCTTCTTCTTTTCTTCTTCTTCTTCTTCTCACCTTCTTCTTCTTCTTCTTCTTCTTCTTCTTCTTCTTCTCTCCTTATTCAATTCTTCTTCTTCTTCTTCTTCTCCTTATTCTTCTTCTTCTTCTTATTCTCCTTTTTCCTTCTTCTCTTCTTCTTCTCCCTCCTTATTCAATTCTTCTTCTTCTTCTTCCTTCTTATTCTTCTCTTCTTCTTCTCCCCTCCTTATTCAATGTCTTCTTCTTCTTCTCCTCCCTTATTCAATGTCTTCTTCTTCTTCTTCTCCTCTTCTTCTTCTTCTTCTTCTTCTTCTTCTTCTTCTTCTCTTCCTTCTTCTTCTTCTTCTTCTTCTTCTTCTTCTTCTTCTTCTTCTTCTCCTCCTTCTTTCAATGTCTTCTTCTTCTTCTTCTTTATTCTTCTTCTTCTTCTTCTTCCTTCTTATTCTTTCTTCTTCTTCTTCTTCTTCCTCCTTCTTCAATTCTTCTTCTTCTTCCCTCCTTATTCTTCTTCTTCTTCTTCCCTTCTTCTCTTCAATGTCTTCTTCTTCTTCTTCTCCTTATTCTTCTCTTCTTCTTCTTCTTCTTCTTCTCCCTTCTTCTTCTTCCCCCTTCTTCTTCTTCTTCTTCTTCTTCTTCTTCTTCTTCTTCAATTCTTCTTCTTCTTCTTCTTCTCCTTATTCAATCTTCTTCTTCTTCTTCTTCTCACTTATTCTTCTCTTCTTCTTCTTCCCCTCCTTCTTCTTCTTCTTCTTCTTCTTCTTTCTTCTTCAATTCTTCTTCTTCTTCTCCTCCTTTATTCTTCTTCTTCTTCTTCTTCTTCTTCTTCTTCTTATTCAATGTCTTCTTCTTCTTCTCCTCCTTATTCAATTCTTCTTCTTCTCCCCTCTTCTTCAATGTCTTCTTCTTCTTCTTCTTCTTCTTCTTCAATTCTTCTTCTTCTTCTTCTTTATTCAATTCTTCTTCTTCTTCTTCCCTCTTATTCAATGTCTTCTTCTTCTTCTCCTCCTTCCTTCTTCTTCTTCTTCTTCTTCTTTCTTCATTCTTCTTCTTCTTCTTCTTCTTATTCAATGTCTTCTTCTTCTTCTTCCTTCTTCAATGTCTTCTTCTTCTTCTCCTCTTCTTCTTCTCTTCTCTTCTTCTTCTTTTCTTCTTCTTCTTCTTCTTCCCCTCCTTATTCAATGTTCTTCTTCTTTTCTCCTTTTCTTATTCTTGTCTTCTTCTTCTCCCCTCCTTATTCAATTCTTCTTCTTCTTCTTCTTATTCCTTCTTCTTCTCTTTTATTCTTCTTCTTCTCCTCCTTATTCAATGTCTTCTTCTTCTTCTTCTTCTTTCTCCTTCAATTCTTCTTCTTCTTCCCTCCTTATTCAATGTCTTCTTCTTCTTCTTCTCCTCCTCTTCTTCTCAATGTCTTCTTCTTCTTCTTCCTCCTTATTCAATTCTTCTTCTTCTTCTTCTTCCTTATTCTTCTTCTCTTCTTCTTCTTCTTCTTCTTCTTCTCCTTCTCCTTCTTCTTCTTCTTCTTCTTCTTCTTCCTTCTTCTTCTTCTCTTCTTATTCTTCTTCTTCTTCTTCTTCTTCTTCCTTATTCAATGTCTTCTTCTTCTTCTTCCTCTTCTTTATTCAATCTTCTTCTTCTTCTCTTCTCCTTATTCATTCTTCTTCTTCTCCTCCTCCTTATTTCTTCTTCTTCTTCTTCTCCTCCTTAATTCTTCTTCTTCTTCTTCTTCTCCTTTTCAATTCTTCTTCTTCTTCTTCTCCTTATTCAATTCTTCTTCTTCTTCCTCTTCTTCTTCTTCTTCTTCTTCTCCCCCTTCTTATTCAATGTCTTCTTCTTCTTCTCCTTCCTTATTCTTCTTCTTCTTCTTCTTCTTCTTCTTCTTCTTCTTTTCTTCTTCTTCTTCTCTTATTCAATTCTTCTTCTTCCCTTTTTCTTCTTCTTCTTCTTCTTCTTCTTTATCCTTATTCAATTCTTCTTCTTCTTCTCTTCTTAATTCTTCTTCTTCTTCTTCTCCCCCTTTATTCAATTCTTCTTCTTCTTCTTCCTCCTCTTTCAATTCTTCTTCTTCCCCTTCTTATTCTTCTTCTTCTTCTTCCTCCTCCTTATTTCTTCTTCTTCTTCTCTTCTTCTTCTCTTCTTCTTCTTCTTCTTCTTATTCAATTCTTCTTCTTCTTCTTCTTCTTCTTCTTCTTCTTCTTCTTCTTCTTCTTCTTCTTCTTCTCCTCCTCCTTATTCAATGTCTTCTTCTTCTTCTTCTCTCTTCTTCAATGTCTTCTTCTTCTTCTTCTTCTTCTTCTTCTTCTTCTTCTTCTCCTTATTCTTCTTCTTCTTCTTCTCCTCCTCTTTCAATTCTTCTTCTTCTTCTTTATTCAATTCTTCTTCTTCTTCTTCTTCTTCTTCTTCTTCTTCTTCTTCTCCTTATTCTTCTTCTTCTTCTTCTTCTCCTTTTCTTATTCTTCTTCTTCTTCTTTTTCTTCTTCTTCTTCTTCTTCTTCTTCTTCTTCTCCTCCTTTCATTCTTCTTCTTCTTCTTCTTCTTTCTTCTTCTTCTTCTTATTCAATTCTTCTTCT